GCTAGGTACAAGAATATCACGGAGGTTTCTACCTCTTCGGGCTGTCATGGTGACTTGTGGGCCCAAAATCCCCTTACGGTGAATATCCTTAAGTAGAATCGGCCCAAACTTTTGCATTGAGTTTTTAACAGTATCCCAACCAGTGTCGAATGTACCAATCATTCTAATAGTTTTATCCGAAGTCTTCATCGATGTTGGGGAATCGGACAAAAGGGCCACCCTGTCAGTTTTCAAAGCTCTATTATATGCCCTCTTCAAACATCTATTAGGGTACCCCTCCTCTTTGAACTGCTGTCTCAAGATTTTGGCTTTAATCTGGAAGTCCTCAAGACAGTTTATTTATTTATTACTGGCATTTATAAAAGCGCCAGCATATTCAGCAGCGCTGTACTATTTGGAAAAAGACAAACGCAATAAGAACAGACCGATACAACAGGTAGAGGACCCTGCCCGTAAGCTTCCAATCTAACTTTATCCGCTTCTTGTATAAAACCAAAGGTCATAGGACGGCAGCAAGTTGAAAGAAACACTTTTTTATTTCCAATAAATCTTCACAGTATTAAAAATAGTCCCCCAAGTGGTATCACTTTTGCTCACTCAGTCTCTCTTTGGAAGGCGTACTGCATACAGTTTCGCTGCCGGCTAGCACCGTACCGCAAACACTTCCTGGAGGCGGAGCCTAATGACGTAACCACAGGACGTGCGTGATGACGCGTTTCGCCACAAATTCGGCTTCCTCAGATCACACTTCCATCCTGCTGCTGCCTTGCTTTTAAATCCGTTCTTCATAGGTGTATGTCCACCTATTAAGTCCTCATTATTGTTTACCAGTGTAACCCCTTAATACATTAACAAAAATCTTCATTCAATTATTCATTCCCAGGGTCATATGTCCTAAACCAAATTTCTTCTTGCATATGAAAAAAAACTAATTTATTATAAAACACCTATGAAGAACGGATTTAAAAGCAAGGCAGCAGCAGGATGGAAGTGTGATCTGAGGAAGCCGAATTTGTGGCGAAACGCGTCATCACGCACGTCCCGTGGTTACGTCATTAGGCTCCGCCTCCAGGAAGTGTTTGCGGTACGGTGCTAGCCGGCAGCGAAACTGTATGCAGTACGCCTTCCCAAGAGAGACTGAGTGAGCAAAAGTGATACCACTTGGGGGACTATTTTTAATACTGTGAAGATTTATTGGAAATAAAAAAGTGTTTCTTTCAACTTGCTGCCGTCCTATGACCTTTGGTTTTATACAAGAAGCGGATAAAGTTAGAGCAGACTTCTCTGCTCTCCACTTGTGAGTTTAACACTATACATTGTTCTAACAACACAATTTGTAATACTGTATTACACTATGTTCTCTTATTTATTTTTTATACATATGTATGTATAACTGGAGTAACCAGACTTAGGGTACATATAGCGGGGTATTGTAAGTGCTCCATTTTTTCTACCAATTTTTCACTAATACACTGATATATAAGTGGCATTTGAATACTACCAATTTTCACTAATACACTGATATAAAAGTGATATTTGCACATTTGCACTTTTTTGCACTATTGTAGAGTGTGTAATAGCAACACATTTATTAAATAGAGTTTGTGTGTTTTTAAAGCACTGGAATGTTTTTTAAAGGAACATTGCACTATTTTTTGTCTTAAAGACACAGCGCACCCTTTTTTGTATTATTGTATTTTTAGTGTTTTATGGGCTATTGCACTTTATAAGGGAGCTGCTTTATAGGTTTTAAGTTTTTTATTATTTTAGACGTGTATTGAGCGCCTTTTTTACTTGTCTCCTTTCCTATTGTACACATTTCTGATAGCTCTAATCAAGTAAGGCTGCTAAACAATCATGTCATTGTTTGAATATCGAAATAATATGCAATGTAGGTTTGATGAAGCTGAAATTTTACAATATGAAAATACCATTGATCCTACAAAAGATGATATAGAAGTTACATTTAAAGATTTAGAAAAAATTCTAGCAAAAGAAATAAAATATAAATGGGAAATTGCCACCTTAAATAGATATTTAAAAGATAACATCACCCCTAGAGGTCTAAGGTTCTCTAAAACACCTACATTTGAAAGTGAAAAGAATAAAAAATATGTGGACATTTGGAATGATGCATTAGAAAGATTCTCTAGGGAGATGATGAGTATAGTCATTGCTTGTAGAACCGAAGGCTTGGAAGATTTAGATAAGGAGGTAAAAGAAATCCAAAAATTATTAGAACCAGCATTGGGTACTAGAGATTATGATGAACTAAGTAAGAAAACTAAGGACAATTTGAATAAGTTGGAGATACAAGTGAAAGAGATCAAACATAAAAAATACAAAAGAGATATGCAAGATTATAAGAATAATAGAGTTAGAACTTATACGAATTCATATAGAGAGAAAAAAGAGTACAATTATAAATATAAACCAGACTCCCCAAATTATCCTTACAGGAAAAGAGAAAACACTGTCAAATACTCAGAACGGACTCAGTGGAAAACACCAGAGAATAGGAAACAATACAATTGGACAAAAGTAGAACCGAAAAATAAATATCAATTGAATAGAAATAGACAGGGTAGGAGTCCGCCCTATGTACAGCAAAGAAAGGATATCGAACTAAGGAACCGTTTTGAGATCCTTTCAGATGATAATGTACAATCAGAACAAAAAGATTTTTTAGGGGAGAGGAAAGGAAGGGTAACCTTCTCACCTCAAAAAAGAAGGAGATACAGGGATATAGAGGATGTAGAGGAGGACGAAAGTTACAGTATAGGAAAAAGAGGAAGGACATCAAATTGGAGGGAGTAATAAATCTCTCTAAGTATAACCCTACTAAAGATGAAATTAGGATTTTAAATAAGGGTCTTAAATTTGCCCCCAATGTAGGTTTTAATTCTTTTTCAGCGTATGTGGATATGCTAAAATATTCTAGGAACTTGACATTAAAAAGGTTTTTTTCTATAAATAAATGTGACAATAAGATAGAAGATAAAGATCACACTCGTTTAAGAAATAGATCTACGTTCTATCCAAGAAATTATAGGACAAGTGCTATAGATATGTTCGAGAAATGTGTTTTAGAAGATTTTGAGGAACTAAATACAAGTAATAATAAGAAAAGGAGACTTCATAATCTTAGCTTCAGCGAGAGGAGATCACTACAAGAATTAAGGACCAATAAGGATATAGTCATTAAGCCGGCGGACAAGGGGGGGAGTATAGTAATACAAAATACAGAGGACTACTTGAAAGAGTGTAATAAACAATTAGGGGAAGTAAAAGTATATAAATGTTTAAAAAAGGACCCCACTCAAGATTTTAAAGATTCTCTATATGTATTATTAGAAAATGGTAGAAATACAGGAGTCCTTAGCGAGAAAGAATACAATTTTTTAAAAGTTGAGCATCCAAGACTACCGTTTTTTTACACATTACCAAAGGTACACAAAAATATTAGATGCCCCCCAGGAAGGCCAATTGTTTCGGGGATAGGGTCAATATCGGCTAATTTATCTAAATATGTCGACATATGGCTCCAAGATCTAGTAAAGATAATCCCATCTTATCTGAAGGATACTACAGAAGTGATAAAAATCCTAAAGAAAATAAAATGGGAGGATTCGTTTATACTTGTTACTAGTGATGTCTCTTCCTTATACACCTCAATCACTCATGATTTAGGATGTAGAGAGATTAAAAAGATTCTAGAAGAATCTGGCAAGTTTAGTCATTCCCATGTAGAATTTTTAATAGATAGCATACGATGGATTTTAAATAATAATTATTTTTTCTTCAATTCCCAATTTTATCTTCAATGTCAAGGCAACGCTATGGGGACTAGGTTCGCCCCCAGTTACGCTAATTTATTTATGTCAAGTTGGGAAAATATTAATATCTATAATAGTTGCGAATGGGGGGCGGACCTAGTCTCCTACTACAGGTACATTGACGATATGTTTTTTATATGGAGAGGTACAGAGTCATGTTTAGAGAATTTTCTAAATAAATTGAATGCAAATGACTGGGGGATTCATCTTACTAGTTCTTATAGTAAAAATAATATTAGTTTTCTGGATTTGGATATCTATATAGAAGGAGGAAGTATAAAAACTAGAAACTTTTTTTAAAAAGTCGATGCAAATAATTATGTGCTATACAATAGTGGCCATTATACCCCCTGGTTAGATAATATTCCAAAAGGACAACTACAACGTCTGAGAAGGAATTGTACAGAAATAGACGTTTTTAAAGATCAAGCAAGTATCCTTATGGATAAATTCACGGAAAAGAAATATCCGAAAAATATATTAGATAGAGCATATGAGGAAGTAATTACACTTGATCAGGAAGATTTAATTGTGGGACAAAAGAATAGATTGACTGAAGAAAAAGATATAAAGACGCCCCTAGTATTTGATTTTAATAGTGATTCTAGAAAAATTAGATCTATAATCAATAAACATTGGTCTTTATTGAAGAAAGACAAAGATTTGGAAAAAAAATTACCAGAAAGACCTTTTATCACTTTTAGAGGTGCCCCAAATTTTAAAAGACTCCTTACCTTTAATCATCCTAGAAAAGAAGTTGGAACAACGTTTTTAAATAATAAAAGCGGTTTTTATTCATGTGGAAAGTGTATGGGCTGTAAATGCAAATAAAAATAGAACTTTAAAAGGAATAAGCAAATTTAAAGCAAGAGAAAAAGAAGAGGAATTTGTTATAAAAGATTTTATTACTTGCTGCAGTAAAAATGTAGTTTATTTGCTGATTTGCCCATGTGGGTTACAATACGTGGGTCGAACAATACATCCCCTTCACAAATGTATTTATGAGCATGTATATAATATAAAACGTGGCTTTGAGCAACATAGTGTGTCAGCCCATTTTATTAAATACCACAAAAAGGATCCAAATGGGTTAATTTTTTAAAGTCAACTTGTGCGTTATGTTCAGGAGTCCATATAGATGCGGACACAGTCCCATATTCTCCCTTCTGGTCTCCTCAGGTCGTAATCGCTGCATAGTTCGCGGCATTAAACTCTCGGGGGACAAACGGAAGAGACGTGGCGGGGTCACCCATCCCAGATGGTGCATTGGTCGGTCTTCGCCCCCCTGAAGGTAAGGAGTCCTTTCGCAGGCCCAACGTGGGCAATAGGTCGCGTGCGCCCTGCATGTCTTGAACGGTGTATTGGCTGTTTCCGTGGCTTATTTGTAGCGCATGTGGGCCCCTCCATTTATAGGTGATGGTTTGTGCGTGAAGTAGGGAAGTGAAGGGTTGGAGTGAGCGGCGCCAGGCCATTGTGGACCGTGACAGGTCTGTGTAGAATGTGAGCGACATGCCCTCAAATATGTAGGGGGACTGGGTTCTGGTTGCGTTCATCACTGCCATTTTGTCTTTGTTGCTAGTGAAGCGTACTAACAGGTCCCTGGGTAGGGTACCTAAGGCTTTGGTTGGCCGTGGGAGGCGAAACATCCCCTCTAGGATTATCTGTTTGGCTTGCTTAGGCGTAAGGAGGGCTGTGAGGAGCCGTCGCACAAGATGGGGCAGCTCAGCCTCCGGCGTTTCCTCTGCTATGCCCCTGATCTTTATGTTCTTGCTTCTTCTTTGGTCTTCTAGTGTAGCAAAGTGTTTTTCAAACTGTATATTCTGTCTCTGCAGCTCAGAGACCTTTTGTTGTAACTGCTGTGTTTGTTTGGCGTTCTGGTTCGCGCCATGTTCTAGGGCGCCCATGCGGCCTGTCAGGCCTTGCAGGTCTGTATGTATCTGGGCCATGTCTGCCTGTAGAGCGAGCTGTACCCCAGCGAGCAGTTCTTTCAGCACCGCCGTGGTGACTGGGGTAGAATCAGCTTGTGGAGAGGCTTGGCGAGGGTTCTGTGGGGCAGTTTTGGTAGCTACCTCTGGGTCTGCCGTGAAGTCGTCTGAGAGGTCGGAGTACTCGTCCGGGAAGGCGGCCATGTCAGGGCCCATCGCGCCCTGAGCCTGCCTCCAGAGATCGCCTATGCTTGCTTGCTGCCGTGGCTTGTCGGGCTTGGGTTTCTTCATTTTTCGACCCATTTCTGCTTCAGCAGCTTTGGCACCCGTTTTGTCTCCGGTCTGGTAGGTTTGACCGGTATTATAGGGATAATTGTGTTTTTTTCGTCCGGAGCTCGGACTGTGTGCGGCCATTCAGTGCAGTAGCTTGGCTCCGCCCCCAAATGGGTTAATTTTTTTAGGAATTCAAATAGTTAATAAATCTTGGAGAGGAGGAGATCATATAAATGCAATAGGTAAGGAAGAAATGAAATGGGTACATCGTTTAGGAACTTTGGAACCGAGAGGTTTAAACATAGAATTTGATTTATATAATTTTTTATAATACATATTGATATTTTTTATTATATATTTTTTAGTATGTTTTAATTATTATTGTAAAGAGATATTTTTAGTCTTTATTTTTAATTAATAGGTTTATGCTTTTTATGTATGTGCTTAATAAATGTGTTTTATAATAAATTAGTTTTTTTTCATATGCAAGAAGAAATTTGGTTTAGGAGATATGACCCTGGGAATGAATAATTGAATGAAGATTTTTGTTAATGTATTAAGGGGTTACACTGGTAACCAATAATGAGGACTTAATAGGTGGACATACACCTATGAAGAACGGATTTAAAAGCAAGGCAGCAGCAGGATGGAAGTGTGATCTGAGGAAGCCCAATTTGTGGCGAAACGCGTCATCACGCACGTCCCGTGGTTACGTCATTAGGCTCCGCCTCCAGGAAGTATTTGCGGTACGGTGCTAGCCGGCAGCGAAACTGTATGCAGTACGCCTTCCAAAGAGAGACTGAGTGAGCAAAAGTGAAACCACTTGGGGGACTATTTTTAATACTGTGAAGATTTATTGGAAATAAAAAAGTGTTTCTTTCAACTTGCTGCCGTCCTATGACCTTTGGTTTTATACAAGAAGCGGATAAATTTAGAGCAGACTTCTCTGCTCTCCACTTGTGAGTTTAACACTATACATTGTTCTTACAATACAATTTATAAGACTGTATTACACTATGTTCTCTTATTTATTTTTTATACATATGTATGTATAACTGGAGTAACCAGACTTAAGGTACATATAGCGGGGTATTGTAAGTGCTCCGTTTTTTCTACCAATTTTTCACTAATACACTGATATATAAGTGGCATTTGAATACTACCAATTTTCACTAATACACGGATATAAAAGTGATATTTGCACATTTGCACTTTTTTGCACTATTGTAGAGTGTGTAATAGCAACACATTTATTAAATAGAGTTTGTGTGTTTTTTAAAGCACTGGAATGTTTTTTAAAGGAACATTGCACTATTTTTTGTCTTAAAGACACAGCGCACCCTTTTTTGTATTAAAGTAAAATACATTGCCATTGTAATAATTCTATTTCACCTAAATCAGCCACTAGGAGTTAACCCATTAACAATTTAAAATGTGGCTTATTTGTAAAGGGACACTACAGGCACCTATATCATTTCATCTCATTGAAATAATCTGGGTGCAGTGCCCCTGTCACCTTAACCCTGTAATCTAAAACAGTGCAGTTTTAGAGAAACTACCAGATGGTCACTAGAGGCGCTTCCTGCATTTTCGCTGAGTTTAACTTCGTGAAAATGACATTGGACGTCCGCACGCTTTGCTTGAGAATGTCCAGGATTTTCAAAATCCCCATAGGAAAGCATTGGGCATTAGGTCCTCCATCTGCATGACGTCGCTGGAGGAGGAGGTAGAGTCAGCCGTGAGGGAACACGTCACTGGAATTAAAGGGGGGCGGAGGGGTGCAGGGGCAGGAGGACATATAGAAGGAATACAGTTTTGTACAGTACCGTTCAAGTCTATTTGTCATGTTTTTGTTTTTATGATATATATTTTTTTGTTTGGTTTTCAACATATGTTTCCAAGTTAGTTCTGAATAAAATAGGAGCTGTTTAACCTCGTAGGTCTTCTTTCGGAAAATGGTCGTAGTAAACCTCCTGCAAACCGGGAATCCGATGGGTGGGCCAGTTAAGTGATTGTGTCACTAGCGCCACCTTCAAAGGTTCTGGCCAGAAAGGAGGCGGGAACGGCCTTGTTAATGGGAGGTCAGCCAGGCTGCCGCTCCGTCATGCTAGCCGGCCCACATGTGGCAGCCCCTGCAACTAACACAGATTCAGTGATCCCTGCAGGATCCTAGTGCCCTGTACATAGCATGAGCCCGCCTTATGATGTACGTGTTGTTCTAAAAAAACAGGAAAGGCAGTATGGAGGACAGGACACGAAAATCAGGACTCTTTTGCTGAATTCAGGACAATTTCAAGGCATGCCAAAGGTCTAGTTACATTATAGATTAAAGATTCTGCTCTTAATCCTGTTTTCTGACAAATTCCATGCAGGAAATTCCAATTAACCTTCAAGGAAGTGAAGCCCATCATTTTTCACAGTCACTGCATTGACATGAAAATTTTTTCCAAAACATGAAAAAAAAACAACAACAATAGACAGCTTCTAAAAAGCTTGTTTATCCTCCTCATAATAAAAAAACATGCTCGGAAAAAAATAATCTTCTAATAAACTAAATCCACTGAATCCCAAATTGCAGCTAAAGGTCTCTGGACCCGGAAGCCATATTTATATATCGCTTCTTATTCTAAAGCCATTTGACATAAACCCAATGTTAATCTGCCAATGTATACAGCAGCAATGCAATCTAATAAGCTAATGTATATTATGTGCCTGCAGGACATTACATCAAATGTGAGATATTGTCTTTTATTCTTTATAAAAAAAAATGATAATCCTTCCAGTTTTTTTCTAGATTAGTACACGGTGGAAACCACTTAAGTCTGAAAATAATAATAAAAAATATTGGGGGGGGGGAATTACCGAATTTCATTCATGCAGTTGCTTGGGGTCATAAGAATTTCATCCGTCGAAAAGAATCCAGAAAGAGAATTAGAAGCACCAAGTTGACAAAAAAAATTAACCCATCAGTCCACCACCGGCCAGCTTCCTTGACTGAGATTATCAAAATTGACAATCTCAGCTAATCCAATGCTTTCCTATGGGAAAACACTGATTGGCTGGGATAATCACTCCTGATGATATCAGCCAAGGATATTTCACTGTTTTGAAACACTAATTTGTGTTCAGCAAAGTCTCCTGAGTAAAACAGTATTCCCCCATGTACAGGTTTTATGGTGTCCTGGAAAGTTACAGGGTTAAATATATGGGTTGCGAACCAAATTCTCTGGACATAAGTAACGTAACCCCAAGAAGAACTTGCAGCTTAGCAGAGGGGGCCTTGACATGACTTGGATTAGCTGGAGCAGGGTAGGGATTGACAGATCAGGATTCTGGATAGGCTGATATAAGTGTCGGCCATTTTAAAAATCCCCATTGCTTATTGACTTACCAGGCTGAATTGGTCCCTCCCTCCCTGTAATGTTGGGTTTTATTTTGCCCGCTTGGTCACAGCGGCGGGCTAGTGGAAGGAAAGTTAAGGGGGTAACGGGCCTGCTTATGGAAGAGAAGAGATAGAGTAGGGAGTTGGCTGGTTCAATATGGACTGGTTACCTGTTGGTAAGATGTTGGTGGTTTCGAGCTCGTTGGTAGCTCAAAACCCGGGTGGTGTAGGGGTATCAAGGTATACCCCTGCCAGGATCGGGTGGAAAATGTTGGATCTTGTTTTGTTATACTTATGGATTGTCATACAATGTTATGTTATATATGATGGGTCATTGCCTTGCAAATTGATATGTGGGGAAGTGATAATGTTGGATGGCTGAGGATTTGGGGGTGTGCAATGACTTTTAATGTTATTTACATATTATTGTTAATATTATCATATTATAAATATAATAAATAAAAGCTGTGGAAATATTGACCCATACCCAAAAGTGTCAGTGTTTAATTGGGGTGGGTTGGGGTAAAGGTAATAGACAGCTCCTCCAGCCCATATGGCGACAATGAACCTGTTATGTGCAGTGTGTGAGTGTATCCCAGAGCGCCACAGAAATAGAACTTCCATAATGTGCAGTGTGTGAGTGTATCCCAGAGCGCCACAGAAATAGAACTTCCATAATGTGCAGTGTGTGAGTGTATTCCAGAGCTCCACAGAAATACAACTTCCATAATGTGCAGTGTGTGAGTGTATCCCAGAGCGCCACAGAAATAGAACTTCCATAATGCGCAGTGTGTGAGTGTATCCCAGAGCTCCACAGAAATAAAACTTCCATAATGTGCAGTGTGTGAGTGTATCACAGAGCTCCAGAGAGTGTGAGTGTATCACAGAGCTCCAGAGAAATAAAACTCACAGTAAGGTGTGAGAAAATGTGGCTGCACTTACTAAATCCAAAATCTACTTACAGCACTAGTAATTGACAAGGCCCTGGGGAGATAGCGCAGCTAAGCGGACAAGGGCACATGTATGAGTGTGGGGATAGTTGCACACGTCAGGGTCTTACCTGGGTTGGGAGTCTGTAGCGCAGATAGGTTGCTCACCCTTGCAGATAGCCACAGGCCAAGGTGGTCAGGTAAGAATTCACCCGGCCTGTGGGTCTGTGCAGGATGAAGTACCAAGTCGCAAAACAGGCAAGGACTCAAACAACAGGATCGTCAAGGGATAGCCGAGGTCAAAGGATGCCAGAGGACAGGAACAACGAGGAGTAGCCGAAGTCAAGGGGTGCCAGAGTAAACGTAGTCAGAAGCCGGGGTCAATAATACATGGCAGAGCAAACAACAGGAGCACTGGTGCAAAACACACAACAGGATCAAAGACTTGATCCTGATCACAGGGCGAAGCTGAGTTTAAATACCCTGCTGATGTCTGATCAGAGTCAGGTAAAGCACAGCCAAAGTCAAGGTACAGCCCCCAGAGTAATAGACATTCCAGGATGAACAGGACCGGAATGACTTGTAGAATACAAAAGCTGCTGTGGGGTAGGAAGCAGGACCAGGACCAGGACTGTGAAGTTCCCCAGTCCAAATCCCTTGTTGGGAACTCCTTGGGCGATCACCTCTGGCCATCTGTCTGCTGCGGTGAGAACAGTGACAGCATGGGATTGGTTGGGAAAGAGTGTGTGGATGGGATTATGTTCGGTGTAAATTAGTGTGGGGGTGGTCTTACCTCAGTGCCACTTGTGATTCAGCCCAGCAAACAG